CATATATCTACGTGCAGTCCTGTGTCTTCTTTAATGAACAAGGGGAGAAGGGAATCACTTTTCTCTTTGGGCACACTCCTCTATCGCGTTGCTCATAGGATGTCTTTATCGAAGGTAACAGGGAATTGACACTCTTACTTTGCTTATTTACAGTTTTCTTTTGAAGATGTACTTATGTACAGCTTTACTAATTGTTAAAGGCCTTATATGTTTGCAGGTACCTAGTAATAGAGCAAAATGTGCAAAGTTCTTCAGAAAATGTTTAGATTTCCTCAGCAAGCAGGATCACCTGGTACTTTATCTATCATCTCACTGTTCTACAAATCTGTTATTTTCTCGGTGAGAAATTTGTCTCATGATTTCTTCTTTCATCTTTTAGGTTGTCAGGGCATATGCTCATGAACAGTTTGCAAGGCTCATCCTTAAATGTTACGAGGAGTTGGAACTGACAACAGAATCATTTCTGCTTGAATCGGAAGTTACTCTTACCGACTTGGATGATGAGTCTCCACAGCTGAGCCTTCAGAATTTACCATCAAAGCAAGATGATGTATTGACAGAGATAAGCAAGGATGAGCCAGCAGCCGTAGATAGTATGTTGGAGTATTCACAATCAGAATCTTCACGTGGTCATGTTGATACTGGTACTGCATCTTCAACTACAAAAGATGTCTCTGATGATAGCCTGCTAATGTGTCAGGCTGGAAACTCTCAGATATCAAAACCAATTGCTGATGCCATCTCCTCTAAGTTGGCAGCTATACATCACGTATCACAAGCTATCAAATCTTTAAGATGGAACCGGCAGCTGCAGAACAGTCAGGATGATTGTGTTGACAATGCAGACACCATTTGGGAGAGACCTGTTGACTTCTCTTTATGTAGATGTGGCGATGTTGATTGCATTGAAGTTTGCGACATTAGGGAGTGGCTACCAAAACTGAAAATGGACCATAAATTGTGGAAACTTGCTCTTTTGCTGGGTGAATCTTATCTGGCACTTGGAGAGGCGTATAAAAATGATGGACAGCTTCATCGCACTCTGAAAGTTGTGGAATTAGCTTGCATGGTTTATGGTTCTATGCCTAAACATCTAGATGGTGATGAATTCATCTCATCCATGTCCAATAGTTCGTTGTGCCTTGAAGATGGTGATCTAAACTCAAGTCTTGTATTGGATGAAGCAGAATATTTCAAGAATGCAAAATGCTTTGGTTATGATATTTCTGCTCAACAGTTGCCTCCAAACTATTTATTCTGGGCCAATGTGTGGATGCTTGTAGGCGATGTCTATGCAGAATATCACCGATTGGGCAGCCATCAAGCACCGGTGCTCCATGAGCAAAAGCCTGAAGGTGATCTTAGGATGTCAAATGAAGTTGCAATGGAAGTCAAACGTCTTAAGAGAAAATTGGGAAAAGATAAGCAGAATTGTGGAACATGCTCACTGATAAACTGTAGCTGCCAAAGTGATAGAGCAAATAGTGGCAGTAGTGCAAGCAGTAGTAGTCCTGAGGCCTCTACATTGCATGGAAGAAAGAAAAATAAAAAAGCATCTGGCAGGAACATTCGTTCACAATCTACTGAAATTAAAGAGAAACCTAATGCGCAGGAAGCTATCAGAAGTTCTGAAGAAACTCAAAACAGCACGAATGATACTCGTCTTGAGAAAAGGACGGTGGCAAAAGCTGAACTTGATCATGATCACACCATGGATAATCAGTCAAGTAATGCTGATGCTATTCCTGATAAACCTAATGGCGATATTTCCAGTGGGAGCGGTGGTATTTTCAAGTACCTTGTAGGTCCTAAACCAGGAGATGCTGAATACAACTTGTGTTCTGCTATTCACTGCTATGGTGCAGCTAAGGGAGACATGTTTGCATTTCCTGTGCGCTCAGCAGAGTTCTTCACCATTCTTAAGAAAAGAGGTTGGGCATTCAATGAACTTGGCCGCATTAGACTTGAGAGTAAAAATCTGAGTAGTGCTGAGATTGCTTTTGCTGATGCTATTAGTGCATTTCAAGAAGTCTCTGATCACACAAATGTTATATTGATCAACTGTAACTTAGCTCATGGTAGAAGAGCTTTAGCAGAGAAATTGGCGTCGAGGATAGAAGAATTTCAGATGTATGATCTTCCTGAAGGCTCATATATGCAATCCGTGAAGTCTGCCAAGTCGGAATATTTCCAAGCAATAAACTACTATACAGCAGCTAAGAGGCAACTGAAGTATGCTATTGCTGACAATGAAGTTGATAAATCACTGTACAACGAAGTTTACACCCAGTATGCCCATACCCACCTGAGGCTCGGAATGCTTTTGGCAAGGGAAAGCTTTTTAACTGGCAGTTACGAAGGTGGACTTGTTGATGAATCATCTAACAGAACAGTTCTTGAGATTTCAGCAAGTGATGCTTTTCGGGAGGCTTTGTCTACATACGAGTCCCTTGGTGAACTTCGCAAACAGGAGGCTGCTTTTGGCCATTTTCAGCTTGGTTGTTATCAAAGGGATCTGTGCTTCAAGTTCCTGGATTTGGTTAACAAGGAGGTCAAACAGAAGAACGAGGATAAATTTCGTAAGAAAGCTAAGTGGTATGGTTCGCTAGCAGAGAAGAACTGGCAGAAGGCTTTAGAATTCTATGGTCCAAAGACGCATCCTACCATGTTTCTTAACATCCTTATGGCACAATCAGCCCTTTCTACTAGCATCTTTGATTCGTTTCATTCTAGTGCGGTATGTTCTTCCTGGCTTGCCATCTCCTCCTATTCTAGTTACTCAAGTCTGCTAGATCTTAGTTACGATTATTCTTTTCTGGCATTCCGGAAAGGGCATTACCTGTCATACAATTTGAACTAAAACCACGACACTTATTCTGGAACAGAGGGAGTAGTTGCGTGCAGAATCGAGAGGCGCAATGTCATTTTATTAGAATCGTTTAGTATGTTGCATTTTGCATTTGGTTAATACATTATGATTGTAGTGTTAAGAGTAATTTTGCTGAGTACTGTTTTTTTACTGCTAAGCAGCAGGAGTTCTACGTAGGGATGTTTGGGGGGAAAGGCATCAGTAGCGGTACATAAATCACAATAGTTCACTGCATTCTGGGTTGTGGTTAGTAACAGCGGGCCGAAACCGGTTGAGCATTTAGGTTTGAGGCTATGCGTTCACTTACGTGCGCGCCTAGGATGTCTTATTTGTGAATGTGGAACGGGATTTCTTCTGTGATATCATAATCATGTTTCTTGGTATCTGTTTGAAGATGCTTGAAGCCGCGCTGATGCACTTGCTGGAAGGCCGCCATGTTGTCGAAGCGAACGAGGAATACTCAAACGATGTGAACCTGGACATAAAGCCGAAGTTCTGGAGCCAGCTGCAGAGCCTGCTGAAGAGCATGCTGAGGAACCTGGACACGAGCAGGCCGGCAGCCTCCGCCGCCGGTCAGGCCAACGGCGGCGGCAGGGGTGACGCAGCCAAGCTGAAGGAGATGTATCGTCTGTCTCTGAAATCTTCCTCTCTGGGCCAGCTGCACGCGCTGCACAAGCTCTGGGTCTGAGCAGACCCTCCGGTTCACAGTACGGCTACTGTGCATGTATGATATATGTTGTTGCTTAGTAAGCATCTTCTACTTTGAAGTTTGTGGGTTGTTGTGACGATCCTGTTGTCTGGTGTACTTGTCTAGGGAGATATAAGTCGTACTGCTATATGAACTGGTACTACTAGCAAGTGAATAATAGCCGTGTAATAAAACTTGTGAACTTATAGATGATGAGGCAAACAATGAGTTGCAGATATGGTTGCTTTGCTTGTAGAGTGGACACCTGGTTCCGGTCAGAGGAGTCTGAATGCGTCCGCTATCCTGGAAAGCATCCAAAGAGTAAGAACTTCTCACTGTTCGAAGTCCATATCCAAGAAGGCTTGTCGCCGGTCCACATACGAGATTGCACGGCAGTTCATACGTTTGGTTGGGCTTTTCCTTGGCTTTTGCACCTTGGCTTATATAAGCCAAAAAAGCTCCTATCTAGGGGATTTCGGCTTCTTTTTTGTCTCTAAGTAGTCCCAACTACTGCAGGAGGAAAGGCCCTGCAGAACGTTTGTTCCATCCTGTTTCCTGGCAACGAGATGGACTTCTTCAGACGCCACCTCCTGTTCGTGAATATATTGCACCACGCTATGAGGAAAAACTCAAAACTTATTCAACACAATTGCTGTGTTATTACAACACAGGGTTAGGATCCTCTGCAGCAGTTTACTTCCTCCGTAAACAAATATAAGAGCATTTAGATCACTTAAGTAGTGATCTATAGGCTCTTATATCTGAAGTAGTGGTCTAAAGCTCTTATATTTCTTTACAGAGGGAGTGCCATGTAGTATAGTCACTGCCATGTGGACCCGGCCCCACATGTCATCCGCACTACAGCATCATACAATCTGCAGAGGATCTCAACACACAATGTTGTGTTATTATTTCTTTATTATACACCTGAAAGCTTACCGGTATGACCCAACAGAGAACCTTCTCAACCCAGACGCAAACCAGGATGACCACCCAGGTGGAATTGCTTCTCCACAGATACAATCAACGGAGTGTACAATGCAAACCTAAAACAAACAATACATCGACTGAAACATCCCGAGGCCGACAAGGGTGAAACAAAATGTCACACTAGCAACAGAAAGTGTTGTGTGCTTTGGTATTCACATCAGACAGGCAACATCATCTACAACATCCCTCACAAACCCCCTACAACAACATCATCCTCACACTACGGTGCGGTTTCTACAGTCCACAAGTATACAACACCTAGCTTCGACGCAACCGGTTTGGTCATGGTATGGTACAACACGATGTGTCTGCAAAATTTTCACATTTTTTAGGTCAGGATGGCCTTGAGGGCGTTAATACCGTCCGTAACAGGCCCCGGCGGCCACCCTCTCCACATGAAGGCCTTGAGGCTGGCTGGCACATATGAAACGCATATGCCGTCCTGGGAATTTTCTAGACGAAGTAGTCCTGGCGCACGACGGTGATGAAATCGCAGGGAAGCGACTCGTCCTCCTTTTGCTTCCCTACGTCGCCGTTTCCTTGGATGTGCCAATATATCTTTGGAGGGAGGGGCGCAGTGAGAGATGCATAAAGGTCTGCAGTCATATGGAGAGAAAAATGATCAGCACGTCGGAATATGATATTTCTCCTGCCATTGTACCAGGCTTCGCGAGCATGTACCTGGGGACAGATTTTGATCGGATTCTTTGGTGGAATGTAGCACAATAATACCGGCAAGAACTGTGAGAAATCCACAAGTCTCAGAGGCAATAATGCTTGCGCTCTGCCCAGACCAATCCTGGATAGTCAGGAAAACACAAGTAAGCTAACCGATTAACAGAGGGGTCAAGAATGCCTGATGTTTTAAATTGCTCACCTTGAACATTATGGCACTTGCTAAAATAGTGAGGGTTGTGAACATGGCATAATAGATGGGAGAAACCAGCGCTGTATTGAAAGTATCCAATGCCTGAAAGTTGAACATAACAAGTGATGTAGAGATGAGGATATTACGATGTGATCGGCAGATCATGCGACACATTATCTAACAGAGCTTCTTCTTTTTTCTTTTTTATGAATATGTTGTTGAAAAAACTGTAAGGAACAAAAGTTCCCTTTTTACAAATCAAGATCAGGCAATGAAGTACCTTGTTTAGGTAAACTAACTGGATGATTAAGCATATAGCTGAAACCGTCACAAACAGCCACGTCTGGAAGTACCCAGCCTGGTTTACGCCCTGAATGGTAAGTTTAATCGCAATGCCCACAGCCTTGATGCTCATTACCTAACAAGACACGGCATCAAACGGATGTCAATACTCATATAGCAACAAACCTACTATAAGAAACCAGAGGCGCAGTCATGCAGAGCAATTACCGTGAGGGATCCGATAACAGAGCAAATACCAACATAGATCATTATGTTCGTCTGCCCATACCGTGGAGCACAATATAGCATAAGAAGCAATGAAACAGCCACTGCTAGAGCAGCGTAGCAAAGGAAGGCTGCAACAACATTACAGATGAAATGTCAAAAGACAAGTCCATTTTTATGGCAAGCAACCGAATGGAGATAGCATGGGAGCTTACTAGGTTGCGTTGCCAGCCGCCAAATCTGCTCCACCGAGTCCGGGGACCTCTCCTCGGGAGCGTGGAGGATGATCACCGTCGACCCAACAATGCAGAGAATACAGCCCAGGACGCCCACCCGCTGCAACTTCTCATTCAGCATGAAATGGGCTAGAACAGCACTGTCCTCCAAAAAAACATCAAAGAGGCGCACACACATGCACATGTCAAACAAACCTGGACAATTGAATCCGAAAAATGTTATACACGCGAGCTGAAACGAGGGCAAGCAATTTTACCTGACAATGATGCTGAGTGCGCCGAGCGGCGCGACGAGGACGGCTGGCGCAAACATGTAAGCCACGAAATTGGCGGTCTCCCCAACAAGCACTGAAAAAAAAGAAGTTCAGGTTGCAATGAGACATCTGGATCCAATTCTTAAGGAACAGACGAAGGGCAAGCGGATGAGGAGAGGCTTACTGGTGACCATCCCGACCCACCAGAGCGGCTCCCAGAGGTACCCATACCCTCCGACACCTGCAATTTTCAGAGGACAGCGAAGGTCACGTCACCACGGATACGCGGAACCGGGCGCAAAGGATCCGCCTTTCTCACGAACCAGAAAGACCTAGAGCTACATCGAGGGGGCACGAAAGCGACAGCGGCGCCCTCGGGTGAGGAGGCGAGCGCGGACGGACGGACGGACCTGCCCGGGAGCCGACGGCGCCGGCGCGGCGGAGGCCCTTCTTCTTGACGATGAAGCTGACCCCGACGAAGGCGGAGGAGGCGACGGCGAGGAGCGCGCCCTTGAGGTTGGCGGCGAAGAGGTCGCCGCCGGCGTCCGTCGCGGCGGGGCTCATCGTGCGGCGGCGCGCGGCCGGCGGCGCATTTGAGGCGGGCCTCTGCCTCTGGGTGGGTCTCTTCTTTTCTCTACGAGGGGCCGGGGCCGCTGTATGTATGCCTTGTCCTGGCCGGCGATGCGCACGATGGCGTCGGGAAATCGGACGACGGAGGGGGGGAGAGAGAGAAGGGGGGGTGGAGAATTTTTCGAATTTATACGCCCCCCGTTTTCCATTCCATTTCGCCTTTGAGTGACATTGCTTCGGGCACATCGGCCCCGCCACATCAAAGTTTCGTGTTCCACTTGTGCTTTGGGACTTGGCGGTCAAGTAAAATTTTCAGGGGGTTGAGTCAAGCTTGTATTTTTATTTTATTGTGTTTTCAATACAAGCAATCATGCAGTTCGTGTCAAGGCACGTTCTAGATAGTGCAGCTGGAAACAGGAGTGTTTCAAGAAATATGTATTATGTACTCATAATAATTAATCATGTAACGGGGCATACATGTTTAGTGGTTCAAGGGCAATCATACCCATTATATTCTAGATTTTGGTAAGATTTGATTTTATTTGAGTATGAGTGCGGGAAGGCAACATAATTTAGATTTAGTCGGGTTTTGGTATGATTTGATTTGATTGGGTATGGGTAGAGAAAGTCAAGATTTTTTTTGGACTTAGTTGAGGTTTTGCTAAGATTTGATTTGATTGAATTAATGCAGGACATGATTTTAATAAGATTTGACTGATTAGCGCAGAACATGGTTTTCATAAGGACAAGCAAAGGAAAGC